CTTCTATACTCAAGTATTTCGTGTTGGCTATACTTGATTTAGAGTTTACTTAAATCGTATATCCGTATATATATATATGTATACTGCCGTTTAACTTTTAGCTTTTAGAAGTATACTTTAGTTCAGTATCCTTCCACACTGTAGAGAAAAAAAAATCGTTTTAATTTCCTATATTTTTTTTCACTTTGCGAAATTAGCCTCCCAAAAAAATATAATTCCTATACGGGCGTTTCTTTTAAAGATAAATAAATAAATAGACATACCGAATCATGCCTTGCCACGAGGGAGAAATTGTCGTTTTTCCGCCCACGTCAGTCACCGAGACAGACAGACAGACAGACACAGACAGCCAAGATAAAGACGTTGATCTTGAGACCAGGTAAGTCGGCAATACTTCGTCCATTTAAGTTGTTTTTCTATATAACATTTCGTGTTTTTTTTTCTTTCTTTCTTTCTTTTTTTTGTCGAAAACATGCTATTGTGAGAGTATTCTTAAAAATCTTTACTTCTATTAGGCTATTGTTGCATTTAGGATTTTACCTTTTTATGCAGATTTTGACATTGAAAATAATCATTTTAATTATAGTATATTATGTATACATTGTAGAAATTAAGCCAAAATTAGTCGTTCACAGTTCACAGCATACTCATACAATTAATCAATACAACGGCCACAGAATATATTAATGATATTATTTTGTCTGGCTGGGGGTTGTTATGCTTCATTCTAAATATACACGTTATTACGCTAATGCTTACCGTTTATAACGTGTACATAATAACATATAGATTACCTGTATACGTTACAAGTAAGGAGATAGATAAGTTATGATAGAAAAGACACACATATTTTATTTAATAACACATACAACTGCAATATTTTGAAAGCAAAGGAATGTCACGATAGTTTACCATTATCATTTAGTCACAAATTTCAATGTAAAAGACATTTTATTCACATCTGTACGTTACTGATTCACGATGTTAGAGCGAAATTAAAAGAGCAAATTTCCCTCCCATTTTTGGTTATTTATTTATTTATTTATTTATTGGCAAATAACCTGCACTGTCTGTATTCAATGACCAAAAAAACAAAAAATAATTAAAATAAAAAGAAGACACATTTTTCTTCTTCTTTTTCTTCTTCTTCTTCTTCTTCTTCTTCTTCTTCTTCTTCTTCTTCTTTATTTTTACTTCCGGCTTACAAAATCATTAGAATAAAGCGAATTTTTATGAGGAAAATGTATACTATTTCTATCACTTGGAACGACCAGCAGAAATAAAAGGAGTTAGGCTTAATGTGATTAATTTCTTATCTCGCCAAGTGACGACAGGATTATTAAAATCATATAATACTGATAAGAGGGAGAAAATCTAATCAGTAAGATCATTATAATGCTTGCTATCAATTTTTTGTTTGTTTTTTTTATTTTTTATTTTTTTTGTTTATTTATTTATATATTTTTGGCGTTGAAGATATTGTTATTACAAGTGGTATTATTAAAGGGGCATTGTTAGATGTATCGTTATCATTCTATTTTTTTTTTCTTTTATCACTGTGATTTGATGAGTTACATTATAAGTGATTTGTGCAATGATATGTTTTCTGTGTGTGGTGTGATTGATGAGTTACATTATAAGTGATTTGTGCAATGATATGTTTTCTGTGTGTGTGTGTGTGTGTGTGTGTGTGTGTGTGTGTGTGTGTGTGTGTGTGTTTGTATGCATGTAAGTATGCACAGCTGCTTTGGAGTATAAAAATATGGATAGTGATATAGTCATATTAAGGATAAATAACTTGTGCGTGTATGTGTATGTACGCATTCATATAAAGACAAGCAAAATGCATAATATAGAGTTAGGGTCGAATTCTCTCGAATATTCGGTTCCTACCCCAAGCCTCTCACCCTCCCCCCCCCCCCTCCTCAACCTCGTCATCCTCCAGGGCATGTGGAGTGTTCTAAAGTAAAGAAAAAAAAAAAGAAAAAAAAAACTCTTTCTTGCCGCAGGGGTCGAGCTGAGGTCATGGTTTCTTGTTTTTTTGTTTTTTTTTGTGCCTGAATCTTGTTAAATTATGATTGTTTTTTGTTGTCTGTCGGTCTGTATGTGTGTGTGTGTGTGAGTGAGTGAGTGAGTGTGATTATGTATGTGCGTTTGCTAAATGTATGTACGCATGCATTTATAACTCACCAGAGTAATTTACTACATTACATTAAAGACACACACACACATGCATACATATGTCTGTGTGCGTATGTGTGTGCGTGCGTGTATGTGTGAAAACTTATGCATACGTACATGTGTGTGTGTGTGTGTGTGTGTGTGTCTGTCTGTCTGTCTGTCTGTCTGTCTGACATAACTCGCAAGAAGATTATGCTCTACCGAACGCACCCAAATACCTATTAAAGACAAAAAAAAGGTAAACATCACAGGGCGTCCTTGAGTTGCCAAGCGGTCTTTACCTCCACCCTTTTATACCGCATACCTGAACACTCGACTT